ACCCTTTGACCTCTTGCTCTGACATTGCTGTGGGTTGCCCTCTTCATCCCCTTCAGGACGGCCTCTCCCCACTCTGCCAAGTGAGGTGGCGCCATACCTTACGATGGCCTTGGTGAAGACAGACAGGGTGTATGTGCCTGGAGTCCTGGAATCCCGTACCATGAAGGCTCCTTCTTTGCCCTGGAATGGTTAGAAAGAATGGAAGGTTAGCGATCCCAGAAAACCAGGCGGGGTGGTGGTGGTGGTGGTGGTGAATCTGTAGGCCAGCTAGGCACAGAGCAGACTTTCAGCAACAATGGCTGCCATTTTACATATTCATTCAACAGATACCTCTCGGGCTCTTACCATGGGCCATGGGTCAGAGACTATTCTAGTGAGGATCTAAGTAGTAATGAAGACAAACAGCCCTCTTGGAGCTGGCCACGTGCCAGATTCCTTGCAGATACTGTCCAACCCTCACCACAACACTACAATCTAGAAGTTACCATCTTCGATTTCCTGATGAGGATACCGAGTGCCAGAGAGTTTAAGTGACTTTCCCATGACCTACAACCAGTAAGGGGCAGACCTGGCATTTGAACCTTGAACGTGGCCTGTGAGCAAAGCCAGTACTCATTCTACTACTCCGTGGTGCCTCCATTCATCGAATGTTAGAAGCCACATCTGCATTCCCCCACAAGGGCATAAGCTTTCTGTCCTGGAAACTTTATCAGTCCCTTAATGGGAAAAAAAATCTGTTAGGCCGTTTCCAAAGTGTCGATTTTGCTATCGGGCAAAAGGAGAAAAAAATGTGAAGCTCCTGAGCACACGAGGGAAGTGGAGAGAAGGGGAAGACCCAAGTATGTCCCCTTCACTTCCCCCGACAATATTGCGAGCGCTGATGAAATCAGTATAAGCACACGGATATTCCAGTTTATTTCTTCCTGGTGGCAACTTTAAAATCTTAGCTTTGTTTGAGTGCTTCATGTCTAATGCTCTGTTCCCACCCACCTGTAAATCTCTGCTGGTAATATTGGCAAAACCTATTATTATGATCTACTTAACGCAGACATAGTGTGGTCAAGGGAAGGCCAGAAAGAGACAGGAACCTTGTGTGGTGGGCATACACTTGTAGCATGTGGAGCAAAGCATACACAGTTTAGAACAACACAGGCCCCTCCATTCCCTAACCCCAATGGTGGGCTGTCTACACATAAAAGTAATACCCACAGATGGCCATGCTAATTGTGTGAATCCTAGAGCCTCAGGGTTAGAAAGGACCATGTAAAGGCTATCTAGTTCATGGTTATCCCAACTTCAGCACCATTGACCTCTTGGGCCCCGTAATTCTATGTGGTAGGAGCCTTTCCTGTTTATAGCAGCATCCCTGGCCTCTAATCACTAGATGACAGGCATTAGCAAGTGTCCCCTGGTGGACTAAACCACCTCTGGCTGAGAACCGCTGATCTGGCCTAACTCCCTAAACCCCAAGTCCCAAACTTCGTTGATTATCATAAGTCCCTGAGACAAAACAAAATAGCAACAGCAAACAACTGACCATGCTCTGCCCCAAATCTACAGACTAGAATCTTCAAGACGGGGGCCCTGGTACCTGAACTTTTCCAAAGCCATGTGATCCTTATAGACATTCAGGTTTGATGTCCACGGACCGAGCTACACAGGCAGCTCTTACTTATAACTGTCCTGATGAACGGTCTCTGTCTCACAAAGCACTGAGAGTTAACGGCTTATCCTTGCACAGAAACACAATCTGCTTCCTCTCACTTGGCCCTAAACATGCAGGATGTGTGTGTGGGGGGG